AAGGGGTGGAGGGGCCTTTCTTTTTTCACATCTCCAAGCTAGCGTCAGCAAAGAACTGAAAGCAAAACCGTCTGCGGCCAGCCTTGTGGCCAGCGCTCTCCTGGATTCGGGCCCCGCAGGCAGCGGAAGACGCGCCTCCCGCAATGGCAAGTTACTTTTGTTCTGGCTTCTGCCGGGCAGGATCGTTCGCATCCGGTTACCACGGCCCCCCAGGAGCGCGCGGAGCGGGGGAGGGGGGGACGGGGGACTGTCGCCCGCGGCGCGCGTAGAGGCCCTGTGCTGGCGGGGAGGCAGCCACCTGCCTCGGAGGCCAACCCGCCGGCAAGCCTTGCCCTGACTTTTATGCACCTGCTCCTGCGACAGCGGAGAGCGCGCTTGAAATTCATAGCAGGCTGTGCGACAAAGGCACAGCTCCAAAGGGACAGAGCACCACGGCCACCTCCCACACCCAGTGTCTCGTGGTCAGGGAGACAGCTGTCTCATCGAGGAGTCGCTTCGCAGGCCGTATTTGGGCTTAACTGTTGCCTCCCACTCCTCCCACTCCTTGGGGAACAAGAGCAGAGAAAATTACCCAGAAATAGAGGCCGCTGTTTCCTTTTGTAAAGGGCCAGCAAGAAGGATTCGAGCCAAGGACTCAAGTTGGGAAGGCATCCTGATGTCTTGTCTGCTTTAGTGGGAATTCTCTCTTGTGGCCTTAGTTCTTTTTCCAGGCACAAAGGGCTCTGTGTTTCGCCATCTGTGCTGGCTAGCAAGAACAGTTAGCAAGTTCAAGATTGAGTCTTCGTGTTCTTTCCATCAAGCGCTTGAAAGCAGTGGCAGGGCCTTTAGTTGTTAGCGACCCGGAAATGCCAAAGCAGTTGCTAGATTCCAGTATGATTTTGTTTATTGGTAGCAATAAAGGCAACGTCAATGAAAATAAACAACTGGCTTTTAAAAAAGAAATATACTTGGACGCAAGGAATGAATCTAATTATTTCTCTCTAGTGCCTTACTTACAAAAACAAAACAAACTTTTTCTATCTTCTTGCTTTCTGACGCTGTGGTTGGAAGTGTCTTAAAATATATCATTGATATGGGAAAATGTCATCACCCTAATACCTCTTGGCCAGAATGCTGCTCTTGTTTCAAAATCCTGTATCTCTGTGGTAACTCTTGCAAGAGCAATTTTCAAGAATCTCTTTTTTTTATTTTTTTAAATTTTTTTAAATTTATTTCTTAGAGAGAGAGAGAGAGAGAGAGCGAGCGTGAGCAGGGGAGGGTCAGAGAGAGAGGGAGATACAGAATCTGAAACAGGCTCCAGGCTCTGAGCTAGCTGTCAGCACAGAGCCCGACGCGCAGGGCTCGAACCCATGAACCGTGAGATCATGACCTGAGGCAAAGCCAGATGCTTAACCGACTGAGCCACCCAGACGCCCCAACATCTCTTTTTCTTAACGTTGGATAGAAGAGATTAATAGTCGTCAGGGAGAAGTTCCTTTAATTTCAAGGAAAAATTAAATACAGACCTGTGAATAAAGAAATAATGGTGTTAGTATTGATGAGGGCACAGGTGGAGTAAAATTTTCTGAATTTAAATTTATTGAAAGTTTTTCTTTGACATTGATGAACGGTAAAAAGAAAGCTGATTTAGTAGCCATGTAACCATCGAGGTTGGTGTGGATTTTTAGAGCTTGATGTTAATATAGAGACAAATGTCCTGTGAAGTAGAATTCCTGAAAAATCTCTTGTCACTTCTTTCCCTCTGCTGGGAAGAAGGGATAATTATATTATACCAGTTGGGACTAGGATGGAGGAACACATACTTTGACTATTTCCTATGCAAGCGAGTTGTGAATATTTGAGGAAACTATGTTTTCCTCCATTAAAGGTATCTTCTGTAACAAATACTCAATAAATTATTATGAGTTTCATTTTTAGGAGACACTCCCTTTGTTTTATATGTCTCAACATGAGCCATTTTCACCCGTCATTTCTCTGTCTCTTTGCTATTGTTGTGAACTCTTCTTTTGCATTTTTAACTAAATTTGACCGTTAATTAAAACTTGACCTCAGCCTTCAAGGCTTTTTTTTAATGAAGCCTTTTTTGACTTGTGTTAGCTGGAGTTAATCTTGCTTCCTAATCCTGGATGGCATTTATTGTATATTTTAGCATTTGTTTTTGGTAGTCTTGTATCCTTCTCAAATCATCTGTTTGCTCTAATAGAGAAATAGGTCTCCTTTTTTGTACCTACGAAGCTCTGATGAAATGATGTATTTATGTGTCTGCCTTTCTCTCTCATCCCTCTTTCATCGGTAAGGTAGAGGGCATTATTTTAAATGTTGGTAATCCTAAGGCCTATTCAAGACCTATCTCCATGTAATAAAGCTCAGTAAATTTTTATGGGGGAACCAAATTTCAGGGCAAAGGGTATGTTTTATTTCTTTGTATGTGTCACTTATGGTACCCATGATATTGCCAGACATAGAACACATGCTTAATTATTACTGTATTTGTTAATTGATTAACTGTATTTGATATTACTGTATTTTATTAACTGCAGTCATATTATTATATTTGTTAATTGGCAAGACACTACATAGTATAAGAAATTCAGTTGTACACTGAACTTAAAAACATTTTTTCATCAGACAGGTACATTTTTGCCACCTGATTTTAACACCTTTTTAAAAAATGTTTATTATTTATTTTTGAGAGGGATAGAGAAATAGAGCACGAGTGGAGGAGGGGCAGAGAGAGGGGAAGAGAGAATCCAAAGCAGGCTCCAGGCTCTGAACTGTCAGCACAGAGCCCAATGCGGGGCTCAAACTTACAAGTGGTGAGATCATGACCTGAGCTGAAGTCAGACGCTTAACTGACTGAGCCACATATGCCCCCCTTGCCACCTGATTTTAACAACTGGTAGCTGAAATACCAAAGGGATGCTGAGAGAGTATATATCCTGGGGGCAGTCATCATTGACATTAGTCATTTTCTATTGAATTCCTTCTATGATAAATAGAAGTAATAAGTAACTCTACCTTTTCCTACCTTCCAAGTTTGAAAGTTTTAATATTATTTAAATTTGTTCTATGGCATATTTTTATAAAATGTAGTTCTTAAAATTTTGGTAGTATGGCATGCTTTTCTGTAATGTAAGAGGAGATTTTTTTTTTTCTCAACTTCTATTAGTTCAGCCTTTATTCTTATATTGACGGGGTTGAATGTTTCCATTTTATTCTGTAGTCATACTTAAATCTTAGTATTTCAGAGACTTAACAAAATTAGTCTAAAGTTGGTTTAAAACCCAATAAGAGTTTTTATATTATTATGCAAATGTAAATACTGTTTATAACAGTGCCTAGTAGTGTGCTGTGATTACTTTTTCTCCTTTTAGTCCAATATCATGTGTATTTTTCCTTTTTCCATTTGACAGGCAAATGTTCGCAGCAGCAGGGTCAATTGATTGCCTTTTTTTTTTTTTTTTTTTTTTTTTTTTGGTACTGTATAAATTACTTCAAATCATGCCACACTTCAGTTTGCTTATGATCTTTAGGCTGGAGCCCCTTCAAATGCCAGAAAGTAGGAGAGACTTGCTCTAGGTGCCTGCACCTATACTAGCAGGTCAGATTCTCCCTAAGTGTTCATTCAGTTGTTGTTGTTGTTTTTCTTAAAGTAAAATAATATTTAAGTACCCTCTACCGCAGGTTGTCACCTAGCTGCCTTCATTGTCATTGTGTGTGTGTGTGTGTGTGTGTGTGTGTGTACACAGTGAGGGTAAGGAATGTGGGGGGACAACTGGAGAAGTTGTTTTGCCACTAGTTTTTCAACCAATCCTTCTGGTTTTGGCCCTTTTTTTCATTTTTGTTGTCACCTTTCTCCTGCCACCTCCTTTCTTTGTTCTGAGTTAGCTCCTTTATTCTCTCTTATCCCTCTCATACTTCTGTATATTTTTGGTCTTCCAGAAATGGGTTAACTGGGATTATTCTCTTTTTTGTTCTTTCACTTTCATTATAAGGTGCTGTTGGGATGGACAGGATGCTGTGTACTTAGACTGTCTTCTTGACTGGAGAGGTCTGATATCGCCAGCTTATCAGTGAAGTCCTATTCTCAGTACAGAGTCCTCTGAACTGACAGCCCCAAACATCTTTGTGATCTGTTAACCTTATGAGATATCCTGTCTTCCCTGGGGGTAATGTCGGGTATATTAAGTCTGAGCTGTGATGTAATCATGCTGGACTACCTATGTAAGCACTGGGAGTAGCTGATAGGTCCACTTCCCTAAATGGGCTGGGGAACAAATGAAAACATTGAAATTGAAGCCCTTTACTTGGATAATATAAGAAGTTTGAAGAGAATGAGCTCAGGGAAGGGTCTACTTGCAGTTGGTACTCTGCTCAGCACAGTGGTAGGATCTGCAGTAGCATATGCTCTTAGTCATTGAATTCCATCTCACATAGGTGCCTGAAGGCAGGATTTACTTCACTGCACCTGCAGCATTATTGTCAGGGTTTTATTATTTTTTATGGCACTTTTTTTTTTCTAATAATGACAAAAAAAAAGTAGGGGATGTGTTTCTTGGTTGGTTGTGTGCTTTGGATTCGTACAATTGAGAAAACGTGCAGCCATCTCCAAACTACCATATTCTGTGGTTGGCTTGGCTTGTTTTCAAACTTAAATTTTTACAATGTATATTTCTCGATTTCTTCCTTTGTGATTGCCATTACTTTTAGGCCTTTCTAAAATCAGGCAAGGATTAACCAATGTTTTCCATTTATAAAAAAAAAAAATTGAGTTCACTTTTTACATTGTACCCCTCAAGTTCATGTGGGGTTGATGTTGGTATATGACGTGAGGCAGGGATCTATCCTTATTATTATTTTTTTAAAGTATCTAATCAGCTATATGAGCACCTTTATTGAATAAAATATTCTGTCTTCCACTAGTGTGTGATGATAGGTGTATTAAGTAGAATCTTGTTTTTATATTTAAAGAGTATCCTACTATTTTTCTTACAGGCATCAGTTTTGAAAGGCAAGGACCCCAAGACTTCTGAAAAAATGGCTGAGGTTGCCAGTCATCCCGTTGGCCTTTTTAATGATCAATCACTGACCACAGTAGTGAAGACTCACTTGCAAGATATTAAGAATAAAGACGGAGCTGTTGAAAATGTGATGTATCCAACAAGAACCAGGGACGGGGGAGTTGCAAATGTGACATTCAAAGAAGAAAAAGGTATTTCCAAATCAAAATTTGTAATCTTAGAAATACTTCTGCAATGAAATTAGGAATTGAATTTCGTTAAAATGATTCGTGGGGTTGATGGAGTATAAAGTAGCGTTTTGAAAACATTATTCTATTCTGAATATAAAATTGGTACAATATTGCATTAACAAGAATATATGTGAAAATGGCTCATGATAAAGTTGCTAGCAACTGCCAGATTCTTGAAGACTTCTTTCTATATTTGGAATCTGTCTAGATCTTGGGATAAAAGTGATACATCTTATTGTAGAAAACTTATAAAATACAGAAAAAAAGTGAAGCACTACAAAATCTATAATTTCACAAATAAGATAACTCTGAATTTTCAAGAGGCTTCAGCAATATAATTAGACCATTTGCTTCTCTTTGTTCAAACCTACAAAAGGATATTCTAATATAACATCACCTTTATTACTGGTAAAGTTGGATTGGATGAATAGCTTGGATCTGAGATCAGAATGAGCCATTCTGTTACTGCATCCCTGACATAGGTGAGAAGGTTGAGCCTGCAGAACATATTCATCTCTCCAGCCTCGTGGAGCGGGGGCAGCCTTCTTTACAGCTTAGTAACTGGCAAAATAAATTGCCAGAGAAAGATGCGTCTCCATGCCAGTGTCTTGGAGGTAAAATACCATATGGGGTTAGGAGCAGAAGAAGAGAACTTGCTTTGCCTGAGGGAAGAAGACAGGGCCTAGAGAGAGAGATGTAAGACTATAGATTATAGTAACTTTATCTGTCACCAAAGTTAAGTCATTCTTTTTCAACGGGGATGGTATAGTAGGGATAGGGGGAAGGACTCCTTATTATTTCTCCCAGAGGATTGTAGTGTTTTTGGAAGTTAATATTTTAAATATGCAGTTGGGAACTCAGAGAGAGAAAGGGAAGGCTCATTCATTCATTTGTTCACAAATATTTATGAGTGCTTATTACTTACCAGGCACCATTCTAGGCCTTCAGGATACAGCAATGAGTGAAGCAGGCAAAATGTTTTCTTTCATAAAACCTACATCCTTGCAGGTGGACAGATAATGAACTAGCAAATAAATGAATATATAATATGTTGGGTGCTTTATTAATTTGCATATTTATACATTATGTATTTATATGTGTTTATGTTATGTATTTATTTGTTTATATTAACATATAATATGAGTGCTATGAAAAAATATAAAACAGAATAAAGGGATAGAATGTGATGGAGAGTACTACTTTATTAGATAGAGTGAGTGGGGAAGTACTCTTTTTAGGTGACATTTGAGCAGAGACCTGGATGAAATAAGGCACTGACTCATGCAGATAAGGGGGAAGAACATTCTAGGCTAAGGGAAGGACTGGGAAACATTTTCTGAGAGGCTGACATGCTGGGCATTTTAAAGACAGCAAGGTGGCTTGAGTGGCTGGAGTGGGGTGAGTAAGGGGCAGAGTAAAAGGAGATGTGGTTAGATGGGTAGCGGGGGGGCTAGTTTATGTTAAAGAGGCTGTAGGTCAAGGCAACGTGTCTGGATTTTCTTCTGGGTGACATGGAAAGCCATCGGTGGGTTTTGAGAGGATGAGTGCTAGAATGTGACTGCCTTTTCTTTGGCGGTTGCTCTGGCAGCGGCATGGTGAACAGGAGATCCTAGTCATCTCTGGTTTTGACTAGGGTGGTAACAGGGAAGGTGACTGGGAACTGGTGGCCATTCAAGATTTGCTGACGGATTAGGTGTCATTTTCTGAGATGTGGAACACTGGAGGAGGAGTACTTTTGGAAGGGGAATAGTTATCAAGAGTTGAATTTTGGTCATTGAGATGTTTATTAGAAAAATGAAGTAGAGATTTCCACAGGCAGAGGAAAGTGGAGGCCAAAGAGAATTTGGAAATGATGCATTAAAAACACTTTTTAAATGTTTATTTTTGAGAGAGACAGAGCATGAGTGGGGGAGGGACCAGGGGAGGGGGAGAGAGAGAGAGAGAGAGAGAGAGAGAGAGAGAGAGAGAATCTGAAGCAGGCTCCAGGCTCTGAGCTGTCAGCACAGAGCCTGATGTGGGGCTCCAACTCACTAACTGTGAGATCATGACCTGAGCCGAAGTCAGGCATTCAACCAACTGAGCCACCCAGGTTCCCCAGAAGTGATGCATTTAGAGATAGTATCTAAAGCCATGGGATTGTTGAGATCAGCCTGGGGCTGGGTGTGTGTTTGCAAAGAGGTATACGTCCTGAGGCCTGGGGCATGCCAACATCTAGGGTATGGGAAGAGAAGGAGAATTAGCAATGGAGACCATGAACTCGAGGAGAACCAGGACAGTGCGGTATTCTGGATTTAAGAAGGTAAAGTCTCCTTATGGCAATAATTAATAGAAGGAGGATTTATGTTTAGGTTGTTGTTCTCCATTCATATATACACCTACATATATATATATATGTATATATACACACACACTTGCGCATTTTAAGAAATATGATTAAGATAAAATATACATATAAAATGAATTTTAATCTGTTAAAGTAGAAGGAGCAACTGAAGTGTTGAATTTAGAGGAGAAATGACAAAAAATCGTAGGCATGCTGAATAATAGACTCGAACATTCCTATTACTAATAATTAATTATTAGTGTGTCACGCTGCAAACACTTCTGATGGCAGTGTTTCCACTTAGGTGCAGAGAATATCAACAGAGAACAGAAACACTGTCAGGCAGAAAAGGTTGGATCTGCTCAATTCACAGTCTCTGATAGTGACAAGGTAAGGTGTGAGAGCGACAGTCCTGGATTCTGTTTCCTCTGTGTTCCCTATGCAGGACACACAGAGCACTCTCATCTCTTGACTCCTATGGAAGGAAATGCAAACTTGCTAACCTGAGTGTTAAATGCCAAGCTTATGTCTTGAAATATTTTGCTTATTGCCTTGTCTGTTTTATGTTTCTATGTGTCCCTTTTGATGCTTCCAAAGTGACAAGGAGTTTTTATGCTCATATGGAGGACGTCAGGTATCTATCTAAAGGCTTATTTTCAGGGAAAAAAAAAATAAAACCCAAATAGGATGAACATTAAAAAGGAGCTTCAAAGAGGCAGGAAGGGTAGAAATAAGAGGAAACAGTTAAAATTCATTGGTTTAAAACTATTCACTAAGAAGCTCAGGGTTCTGGGCAGCCATCTGATGAACTGACCTTGGAGGGCTCTTTAGGGGACTCCTGTCCCTAGAGAAGTGCTGGAACAGTGTGAATCTGTACATCATCACAGTGTGTAGATTTTGCTTAAGACTTTGTTTCAAATAACATTCTGCCTCTATTTGAGTATCTCTGTTTTGGGAAATCCAGTGAGGGACCGTGAATCCCAAATTGAACACTATGGCCTTGATGGGGCTATGAGATCCCTTTGATGGGCTGCTATGGTGCAAGAAACCAGTCTGTGCTGGGCAGGCGGGGTTTGGTTTCGGGGAACTGCTATAGAAACCGAGAAAGTGGCAGAAAAAAAAATGTGTTTATGTTGTCTGCTCCATGAGACGGTGCTGTTTTAATTTCTCTCTGTTTAATTTTAGGTCTTCAGCTCTGTAAAAGCTATCCTCGATCTTTCTGTTTTTTGGAGTCCAGTCATTCTAGAAAGCCTGGTAATGGACCTGAAAAGAAAAATCCCAACTTTATCCTTCAGTCCTTTGGAACCCAATGGAAGAATCTCTGTTCAAGGGTCATTTCTAGATATCCAGAAGCTCAAAGAATCTTTGCTATTAAAAGCAAGTTCTCTTGTAGAAAAAAATGAGAATTTTATCAGTGAGGAGAAGTGGAACAGTGAGGCCCCCAAAAGTCATCTCCAGAGAAGTAGTAACTCCTCGGAGTTGCCTGGGGCCTCAGCACCTGAGACCGATAGGAGAGGAGAAACGCTAGTTCTCGATACAAATATATTCCTTTATCTGAAAAAGAGCAGATTTTATGAAAGCACATTGAAAAAATGTCATGTTTTCTGTCAGGAGAGAGTGGATGGTGAAATTACCACAATCTGTATAAAAAATGCTCAAGAATGTTCTCACCCAAACAACGAGAAGCTTGTAAAAGGACTTATTGAAGAATATTCACTTGCTCTTCACTTTGAGCTTAGAAAGGAGACACTTCTTTTGAAAGGAAAGGAGGATAGAGATAAAAGAAGTATTAAGTCGGCATGCGAACAAGTAAGTTTGAGGTACCCTGAGGTTCTGATTAATTTTTACGAGACACACGTTGATATTATAGGATCTTCTGCTGACACATACTTATTTAAAAAAGAGGTCTTGCAATTAATAAGATTAAAAAGTTAGGTAATAAAATCTCAGCAATAATAATGATAGTGGCAGTCTCCCTTACTGAACAGTGGCAATGCTGTGTATGACACTAGCTTTATACACATTGTCATTTAATCCTTGCAACTATCCTTCACTGCAGGCATTGCTATCCTCATGTTCTAGGGGGAGAACTTAGGATTTGGAGAGGTTAAAACATTTGTCTAGAGTTATCCAGCAGGCAAAGAATGGGGTTAAACTTGGCCTGTCTGACTACAAAGATAATGTCTAAGTCTTAAGACTTCAAAAAAAAAAATCTCATTAAATTTTGAAGAAATCTCACATTTCCTGCAACCCCGAATTCTTAGAAATAGAAGTAGTCTTAATTCTAACAGAGAAGTTTGGATGATTATTATGCCATTGGCCATTTCTTAGCATTTACAAAGTTCGTGTTCACTCCAAACAGAACGCTGGTAAAACTCACTCGAGAGACTACTTAGATGGAAAGTATTTCTGAAGCAGGTAATCATTACTTGACTAAATCCCATTGGTACAGGTTACTGGACATATGGGACATTTTTATTGTTGCCTATTTAGCCCAAGTGCATACATAAAATGTTGGTCCTGTTAGAATTATGAAGAATTACAAAGTATAGTGTCTTCTTTCTCTGTTACCTCCTTTATTTTATAATTGTATTGCTCGAGCGATAACATTTGAGTAATAAAATAATGGGTGTTTCCTTAAAGATGACAGAAGGGCACCCAGATTTGTAAATCATTTGGTTGTCGATGACTCCCCTGAATTTAACTTTAGAGTAAACCAAGTTTTAAGTACTTGGGGCATGTTATCCTAGGATAACAGAATGTAGGTATCTTGCTCGTCTCAAAGTAAACAGATGTGATTGTGATGATGTGAACTATTTAGATCAAAAGAAAAGCACAAGACAAATCTCTCTATAGATTTTCATCTTTCTTAGGCATCTAAATCTCAAGTATTTTTATTGTTTATAAAAAATTAAGTTTATTTTGAGAGAGAGAGAGAGACATAGAGAGAGAGAGAGAGAGAGAGTCAAGTTTGCATGGGAGAGAGGGGCAGAGAGACAGAGAATTCCAAGCAGGCTCTACACTGTCATAGCCTGCTTGGGACCCAATGCAGGACTTAAACTTATAAACCGTGAGATCATGACCTGAGATGAAATCAAGAGTCGAGGGCTTAACTGACTGAACCACCCAGGCGCCCTGTATTTCTGTCTTTTAAAATATGTTATTTAATTGTTGTTTTTGTCAATGAGAAATTGCTCTTTATATCATATACCCAATAAGATGTCTTTAAATGAAAAAAATGCTTTATTTTTATTTTGCTCCTCGGAATTTGTCTCAGTCTGGGTCCAGTCAGGAAAGAGAAGGCACACAGTAATATGAATAGGGAAAGCTTAATATAAAAAATTGGTAACTATAATAGGGGACTGGAATAATGAGGGATTGGCTAGAAGGAATAAAGAGAACTCTAAAAACTATAGGAATAGCAGATATAAGAAGCAGTTTAGGTAGAACACCTGTGGAAGAGTCCCCAACCCCCCATCCCTGGACTGAGACCTTGCTGGAGGGTTTGTGCCAGGGGATCTTGCTGGAAATCCATCCTCTAGGTTGCTGGAGGAATCTGCTCAGAGGAAGTGTCTCACCCAAGACATTCCATTACAAAATGTGTTAGAGTAACTGGGGGAACCTGCTAGTAGCTGGACGTTACTGGCCACTGCGCGCTTAACAGGCCCTGGGGAGGCCTTGTGTGCTGGCGGCAGGACACTGGAGCAAGTGTCCATGCTGCATGGACCTGATGTTGGAGAAGCTGCCCGTGCCGCAGAGGTTGGATATTGGGGGAAGTTTCTTCTGCAGAAAAACTGGATCCCTAATAGCCTGACAGCTGAACATGTTGAAGTAGAACAACACTTTTGTCCTGCGGTGTCTCTCCAGCACCCTCTACTGAGGAAAGGTAACATCCTATCAGCTACAGAGGAAAGATCTTTAAGGGTCCCAGATCCATTTTCACAGAGAAGGCACATAGGATGAACTGAAAGCAGAGTCAAGAAACTGATAACTGGAAGAGATTAATTAGATACCTGCTAAGGCTTTCATTACTATCACAAATTTAAAGCCAGTAGACTAGGCTTTCTTTTTTAAGGAGATAAAAGTTGATTGAATCCACCTCAAGGGTGAGCAAAGGAGCTGTAAGCAGGACAGCAGAGGAGAGGCTGTGTGCCTAATGCCAATGGAATAGTCTTAAAACAAAGAACTGGATTAGAAAATGATGCTCATTCCATAATCTGATAGGCTTTGATTGACAAGTAGGGATATGTATCTTCTGCTTGAGGAGATTATGTATTTCAGATGTTTTTACATATTGCTGTGTAATTTAGAGTTCTTTAAACAGCACTTTCCTTATAATACACTTCTTGTGTAACCAATTCCTATCTTTAGTAAAAACTGACGTTTTTCCCTGAAAGTGATAGTAGTGACTTACTAAAATTTATTTTTGAAGGCTAGTGATACCCAGGCAGATGGTGTGAATTCCATCTCATTGTGAGGCCTACACCCTGTTGTATGTCTTCCACTGGGAGAAAAACCTATCGTTTAATTAGGTAATAAGTTGATACCTTTCAGAGAGGCTGCAGATAGTGAAAAGAGCCATTATCCACAAGCTTCAGATCAAGACAGACAAAGGCGAAGAATGGGAGAAAGGGTTCTGAGGTATTTGAGTAAGAAATGCATTCAGAAAATCTTGTTGAGCTTATCCTCTGGGACAGCCCTTTTCCTGGGTTCTGGAGACCGCAGTGGGATGTAAGACGGCTACGTTCACGGATTCGTTAGAAGTCACTGCGTAGTCTGACAGAGAAGGCAAACAAGCCATTACCTCAGTGCTTGCTGTAGAAGTAGCTGGGATCAGGTAGAGGGGGTGTCAATTCTTACCTACGATATGGTAATAATTTTCAAATTATTAGCATAATTTTCATTAAAAAAGATTGTGTGTGTCAAAGTTTTATTTCCCTTATTATTGAGGAGTAAACTAGTAGAAGGACAATAGTGCTCAAAAAGAATATGAGTAATAGAACTTAAAAATCAGTAGAATGTTAATAAAGATTGCTAAATAAGAAACAAAGCTGATCAGTGTTCCATAGTGCTATAAAACTGATTTGGGGGATGTTTTCTCTGCTAAACAGAAAAATAATCACACTTTATCGTGTTTTTTTTAGAAGTTAAAATTCTAACTGTACAGAGTTGTAAAATGTCAGTGCTCTAATCAATTGTGGTAATTAAGTGAAAACAAAGTTACATTCCCCAAACAAGATGACCCACAAGTGGGCTTATTGGAGCATGTCTAGCAAGGCATTAAAGGGTCACGTAATTACTTTTTGCCTTATTTCTGTGTGTTGAGTAATTTTCTTTAACAAGGGTCAGAAGAAGCTTCCCAAAGGCTAAGAGCTGATGGATGGCTGTTAGCCCAAGAGATGAGGAGGGAGGGCAAAACAGCACTTGGTTTGATAGATGAACACCAAGTTTAGGGATGGCTGACTTTTGACAGCTCAGGTTTTACAAACTTTATTTGATGGACAAAATTTCCTTGATTTTTCATAAGAGAGCCACACATACAAATGTCTAATTTCCTTTGTGAATTTCTTCATATAAGCCATGTTGGTGACAATGTATGGAGTTTCCAAAAGACAGTACCTTAAGAAACTTAACTATCTTGCCTAAATTTCATTACTCTAAGGTCATTTCCTGGTATAAATACTGGCCTTTGAAATGAAAAACCTTTTCAACTCCAGTGGGCTCTCTTCCATATTCTCCACTGACCCCTTCTCTCTCATTTTTTACTTCTTCCAAACTGACTGACTCTGGGAAACTTCCTTACTCCTTTAGCTTCAGTGTTCTCAGCTATTATTGTGAGTTTTTGGAAATCATGCTAAATAATAAATATTCAAAAATCGTAGTTATTACCCTAAGAACTTGATAATATAAACACCCCACAGAAAGCTCCCTCAGCTTCTCATCTCAGGGCTGGCACCAACATGTTATTCAAGCCAGAAAACCAAGAGTTGTTCAGACTTCTTCCCCTTCTCTCCACTACCTTAGATCACGGTTATGTCATTTCTTGCCTGGGTTAGGAGTTGAATAGTATCCCCTCAAAGTTCATGTCTATCTGGAAGCTCAGAATGTAACCTTATTTGGAAATAGGGTCTTTGTAGATGTGATGAGATAAGATGACATCATGCTGGATTGGAGTGAGGTCTTCCCTGCTTTCCTTATAAGAAGGGGAGAGGACACAGAGACTCAGGACACAGAGGAAATGTTCATGTGACAATGGAGGCAGAGGGTGGACTGATGTAGCTATAAGCCAAGGAATTCCAAGGACGTCTGGGAACCACCAGGGACTGGAAGAGGCAAGGAAGAATTCTTCCCGAGTCTTCAAATGGAGCACCCTCTTGTCATCACCTTGGGTTTAGACGTCTGGCCTCCAGAATTGTGAAAGAATAAATTTCTGTTGTTTTAAGCCACCAACTTTGTGGTGATTTGTTATGACGGCTCTAAGAAACCGTCAAGGCTTTCTTCCAAATAAGTTCCTGAGAATCTCTGATTCTTGCATTTGGTTTTGGTGGGGGGCCCCTGTTGTGTACTCTACACCCACCTCTCTTGTGACAGCATTTCACAGTACATTTTGTTTATTGGTTTCTTATCTTCCTTTCCCACTATTGGTCTCCTTGAGGCCAGGAACTTTGTCTTTCTCTACGTTCTTTATCCTCTGTTTATAACAGTGGCTGGCACATAGTAGACATTCCACAGAGACTTATGAAATATAGGAACAATTTTTGTGCTCCACCCAGACTTTATACAGGGTTTTTTGTACTGAAATAAGTATCTTATAAATGTGTGTTCCTTGGTCTAGGAATTTTCTTTTTCTAAAGCCTTCACACTTGCCAATATCATAATACTAATATTGATCTCTTACTCCTTTGGAATGTGTCCTCATTTCCCACTTGTATGATTTCCTTCAATGAATTCCTCCAAAATTCTGGCAAGAGAAACTCAAACAAGGTATCACTCTCTTTTATATTCTTCTCATGCAAGTTGGTCAGTAATTGCTCATGGCACAAAGACACCAACCATGTTCCCTAAAAGTACCTGGGATGGTTCTTGCCATTTGCATAGTTCCTGACTGGATTTCACCAGTGAGACAAAAATCCCCTGTGATTTAATTAGTTGTGAAGATTTGCTGGGTTTTCTACTCTTGTATCTGGGTATTGTCAACTATAGGAGGTCAATGGGCGGGGGGGGGGAGGGATTCTTAGTTTTTGTAAGCAGTCTACCGGTTAATGCTTGAGATATCAAAATATTTAATCAGCAGAAAATACTATACAGCATATGTATGTGTGTCAAGACTGTTCTGCAGTTAACATATTTCTAGCAATACTGAGAAAAGCAATAGCAGTAGAATATGCTTCCTTTTGGTTTTCTATGAAATTTAATCCTGGAAGAAATTAGTCTAACAAATATTTTACTGATTCAGATAACTTCAAGAATAGGGTCTTCCAGGGGTTGGGAGAGGGAAGGAGGACTTGGAATATAAAAATGGCTTTTTTGTTGTTGTGGGAAAAACCTATTTAAAATAATATGTAATTTCAAGAAGGGAATAAAAAGATAAAGGGTAGAAAGGGTAGCATTTTTTAGGGATGTGCATGAATATTGGGAAGAACAATTTGCTCCTGATGAAGATAGATGTTTATG